TCTTTCGTACGTCCTGAGTAGACAACTTGGTTGGCGTACCCCAGGAGCGGTCTGACGTAGGCCCCATAGAGTATTTGGAAGTCCATGCGAGCAACACGGGAGAAGGTGCGTCGGATCATCCGTAAAATTGCGAATGCCTTTTGGGCCGATTTCCCATGGTGTAGTGAGAAGGACAAGTTTGAGGAGACCCAGGTACCCGAATCCTTTTCGGCATGCATGACAAGATAATCCGCTGAGTCTACTCCAAATGGCATATGGATTCACGTTTCCTCATTCAGAGGAAAGTGCCAGTCCAGAAATATGGGAATTCAACGTTTATGAGCGCTGCAAACGAGGCTGAGGCATATAAGTTTTGTAACTCTCAGTGGCTCACCCCCCCCCGTTGAAGAATGCGAAATCGGTTTTATAGGAAAAGTTACATGATTTGGTGAATAAAATCCAGGAAACGGTGTCCAACGCGCTCACAAAAGTGGTTTTTGTGAAAACTAGCCGAGAAAACGATAGAACTAGAAGATAGTAAGAACTGAAAATGACTACGCTTTCATTGCTTTATCCAATAGTTTGGCTCAAGAAGACCACCAGTTACTGAAGAATTTACGTGAGGAATCGGCTCAAAGATTCTATTAATCTATCGCTGCCCTGGAGCAATACTTCAACTGACATACTGGGTGGCCCAAGTTGACCTGCTTAGCGAACAACGTCTTGCCAGGTTTTCAGCGAATACTGAAATGCTACATCTTTGCGGAAACAGTCGCAACTTTTTAAATGGTTTGAAGCATCTGTTTTTCCGATCTTATTGAACTTTTAAAGGATAGGGATGAACTCATTTTATCATGTCGTGGAAGATTTGGCAAGTTAATGAAGTGATATTCCAACTAGAATTTTCCACGGCCTTTTGTGCTTCCATAAAAGACGCAAGACCTCAAAATGAGAATTATCTGGGTAAGATTCAACCCACGATGTTTTCTGGGTTGCGTACAGCCATCACTCACGCATACTCACTGGACTTAGTGAAATGTGGAACCTTAGAAATCAGGGTTCCGTCCGGACCATCGATGTGTTGACAGCTTCATCACTTGACGGTGGCTTAGATACCGCAACGCATACGCGGGTGGTATCCCGTTTTGGTTCACAAGCAGCGTTCGACTTATTTGATCACTTTCCCGCGGCATGTCTCGCACTCGGAAGGCTTCCAGAAGATTCTAGATACAATTTATCTGGCTTCATACCCCAATACCCTGGGTCCCCGACCGAGACAACTACCGCTTGTCGGCCTGCCCAAACAAGTATAGGTAATTATCAACGCAGTAAGCTTCAGTGGCTCCGGAAATCGTCGTCAACCTTCTTCATAGATTTGCAGCATGTTTAATGCATTTTGCTGTTTGTTTTAAATTGAAACCAGAAACAATATACGCTAAGAAAATTCTAACAGTGAAATACTTATTTGCAAACTAATATGGTTTTTCCGGAGTCTCATCTAGAACCCAGCTGAATCTCTCGTTTGTCATGTTTCCTGTGTTTTCACAGCGTTTGGCATGAGTTTTATACCTTCAAAACGTCCAGTTGTAATACAGTTTGCGCGAACAGGGCCACCAACGCTGTTCGTGATTTCAGAGGCACTTCATACCGCTGGCGGTTAACCTACGCGTGTATTTGTACCTCATAGGAAGGCACTAGTGTCAGACATCTATGACCCAATCTGTTTGAATCTCAACTCAGATGTTGTAAAAATATTTTTGAAACCTAGCCTGACCGTAGCCGTTTACGTACCTCTAGCATAGCACTTAGCCACCTATTTAGGACATCATATTTAATCGCACACAAATATCCCTCCAGCCCTTTTCCCCTGATTAGGCTTTCCTCCGCTTGATTAGGTTTCTCTGAGGTATAAGCTTACGAGCAGCATTCCAGCGAGGTTTACCATTACCTAAATCAAACTGGCTTACGCAACCACTCCCATCTCCCTCCGAGCAGCTGTACAACCCTGATTCCCCATTATCATTCCCCTCACCGTGTCCTTCCAGGCGAAAGGCCCAACACTCAACTTCATCGGTGCTCAAGACCGGTCGGTAGAATTCCTTAGCTGGATTCAAGCTGCTCAGCTGTACTAACCGACAATTCTCTTTTCTCTTACTCGGGAGTTGTCTTTATCCCTCTTCACCAATTCAATCGCAGCCCTGGACTGACCTTGCAAACTTCAGCGCTCGTGTGAATAAGATGGAGAACGGACTGATATTCCACCACCACTTGCCTGACTTCACTCCTGATGCCATGTTTGGCCCATCAGATCTTCCAAAAGCGTCAGTCCTTTTTGACATACTCGCCTCAGAGATAAGCCTGCGTACGGAATACCGTAAACAGGTCTTATTATACAACGCTCCCGATCGCACCCTGGTGGGACACACAAAAGTCGCCATCGTGACAGCATGTGAGCCGAAACCCTCCTTGCGTTTCCAAACGCTAATGCGATTCAGAGTTGAAAACGATGTAACACGCCTGTTAACATCCCAGACCCTTCTGTCCTCCATCAAAACATTCCAGACCTCAACGGTCGAAGCTTCCCGCACTCGGTTAAAATGGCAGTTTACAGGGAATTCACCCTCCAAGCTTCTAGGAGCGAAAACTGATAACTATCAAACGGACCCATCTCCACTTCAACAATCTGTACCAGTAAATACTCTCTTCGTGATTCAATCGCAGACTTTTTATGCAACCAACCTCTTGGAAAGCTGCGCTCACAGCTGCCAAAAAAGCCCCAATTCAAACAACGCCATACCGATTTTGCCAACTCTTCCGGCCACTTCTACAATCCCAACTAGTTCCGTTGGGCATCCACCCGTCCCCGACACCAGTGTAGCGTGCTCTAAACCGGTCGGATTACAGCTGCCCCTCCAAATGCCGAGGCCGACCTGTTATACTCCAAAGCTTGACGCTGCATCACTGATCCTCTTTCTGGTCTTCATTATCCTGGAATCGCTCTACGCCCAAGCACGCCATACCATGACGCCAGCTTGTGGTCAGATGCCAAACAAGCTGGCTAAGGGGCTCCAGCCCCTCATCTCCTGCTCATGACCGTGAGCCCGAACTTCTACACATGGATACCTGCCCATGCCAACCCCACCCCAACTACACCTAAGATCTAGTCCATAATGTTGTTCAACGCCCTCTCTTCACAGCCCAAAATCCATAATTCCTGAGAAATTATTGCACGACCAGGTATGATCTGCGCGACTGAAAAATGGCTCACAGATGAAACTTCTGACAAGCTATCCCAATCCCCGTCTATGATATTCACCGCTCTGATAGGAACAACTCAAGGGGCGGCAGATGTGCCATCTACTTCAAAAGAGAACTTCGCGCAACCCCATTTACTGGTTCCTCCCTAGAAGGGATTCCGGAGACTACCCATATCTACAGAACAGACCAAAGACCCGTACTAGTAGGTTGCATTCATCTATCACAAGCCCCCTCCCCCGACTCTATTGCTGATCTTTCTTGTATTATCTTGACTGCACATGCCCTTCCTCATCCGTCTGAATTTCTGTTGGTTGACTTCAACCTGCCAGACATTTCCTGGTCCTCCAACACGGGCCCCGCCCGTTACACCGCGCTGCTTGCACGACTTGGTGTAGAGGGCTGGTCCCAAATTGTACGTAGTCCCATTCGCGGCCTCCATACTCTGGACCTAATATTCTCCAACGATGGCCATTTGGCTACAGCTGTAGCTGATCCACGCTTCCCAGGAAGTGACCACTGCGTCGTTTCTTGCGACGCAGTCAGTTATGGCCAAACTGCTCATCTGAGTCCATCCATGTTTCATCTCCTCATCGGATATTTTACAAGCTTTTTCGTTCACGCTGGCTTCCAAGGATTGTAACGACCTCCTGCCGAGAATACACACCGCGTCAGTGACATTTAACATAAACCTATGAACTGCTCTTCACCTTGTTTCTCTTGTAAAACATTTTTATTCAAGTATCTCCGACCACGATAGGTCATTAAAAAACTTGGATGCCAAAATACACCGAACTAGTGGGGAATATCGGAAATTTCAGGATTTCTCATTATTAATTCTCGTCAACGAACCCTCTACTGGCCGAAAATCATTGCGGCTGTCTCTCGTATCAATTTCAGAATTCTCATTATTAATTCTCGTCAACGAACCCTCTACTGGCCGAAAATCATTGCGGCTGTCTCTCGAACGCTGAGGAGAGAACACCATCCATAGGTCTCCTCCCCAATCCAAATTACTCAGACGACTGATCCGTGGGCACTGTACCCTAAACAGCCACTCAATTACTTTTTTGCGTTCCACAGATAGTGACCTCATCACTGATCCTGTGTGCATACCAGACCAGCTGAACGCTTACTTTGTCATCCGCTACTTACATTTTCCTCCAAACTCTAAACCACTACCCACTGCTGCATCTCTCGAAACTCAGAATGGTCAAGGTAATCACCCGACTCTCAGTACGATACCTATCTTCCAAGCTGATGTTCCATCCCTTCTTCTAAAGAACCAGGACTCTGTTGTGCCAGGAACCAAAGACCTTCCACCCATGTTTTGAGACAAGGCGTTCGAGATGTTGAAATCATTGTACTTAATCTTTTTACTCACTGTATAAACTATAGAATCGTCCACTTCCAGCGGAAGAAACCTATAATCCGCGGCGTTTTAGATCGGGTTCTAGACTAACTCATTTCAACTACAGGTGAATCCACCGTACCCCCCTCTTGATGAGAAACCTTGAACTTCTGCTCAAAGGTCCGTTAACGAAGTTCCTCCTGTCTACTAATGCGAGAGATGACAGCATCATTGAGTCTTGTTTCAGAGACCCGTTAGTGGATACCGACTCCACTTCTCTGAGGACATCACAGGAGCCTACAAAGCCGGGTGCTTCGCTGTAACAGTTTACTTGGATATTCAAAAGGCCTTTGACCAAGTCCCGCATGAATCCTTGCTACACAAACTTGGTACCATTGGCATCACTTGAAAATTATATCAATTGTTCGAATCCTGATTATCAGACAGGAGGCAAATAACACGAATTGGGGACACATTATCGACCACCAATGGAGTCATCCAAGGAAGCGTGTTTGGCCTCATTTTCTCTTACCGTACGTCAATGACGTCTTCAGAACCATATCCCATGGTAAGGTTTTCCTCTTCGCAGACAATGTAAAAACTGCGTACATATTTCCCCATCCGCACGAGCCTTTACGCTTCACCAGATTGCCCAACACTTAGTCTCGCTGACTCGCTGTACAGACGACTCCGGCCTAGGCTTCTCAGACACAATATCCCGCATAACATTCCGCCGCTGCTCCCTCCTGGCTGATGTTTCCCGGCACGCGCGACGGCTTCCGCTCTATTTCTTTCTCGTCACCCCTCATCCCTAGCTTCAAACCTCGACCGCAGTTGCCCAAGCGCCCTTTAGAACTGCTATTCATTCAAACTAAATGGTGTCCGGTCTACACTCACATGGTCCTCCAACAAAGGGGAAATTATCCGTGAGCCTACATCTGCATGACTCGGATTCGCGGATTCACGGACTGACACACAGGATCGGAGCTTTTGCCCTAGATTCCGGGGCGCTTTTGTTCTTGTCGGTCAGTGACTGTCGTTTACCTGAAAAGCACAAGTGGAAAAAGGGTGTAGCACTGCTCTTTATGTTCTCAGCGCGGGGCAGCATGCTTCCCAGCGCGAGGATTCGCATAAATAAATGTTTAATAATGCTTTAAACTGGGTTCTAGAAGGAGCGTGTACAACCGCCGGAGGAAGGTAATTCCACGCAGCTACTATCCGAAATGAAAAACGTTTTGTCTAATGAATGTGTGTGCTCTGAGCTTGAAAATTTTCTTACTATGTCCCCGCGGTGCGATTGCTGGGTCAACGGCGGAAAACCTGTTTGCCAAGCTTTGTTCAAACAGGGCGTAAGTAAGAATTAGGTCCCCTCGGAGGCGACGGTACTCCAGGGGAAAGAGATCAAGCATCGCGAGACGCGTTTCGTAGTCCACGGATTTGAGGCCGGCAACCATTCTCGTGGC